GGGTAACAAATGTGGGGGGAACATTCAGGAGGAACTATGTGCACTCCTCTTCTGCCTGCCTCTTACCCTCCTACTTAGGCCCCTATTTTTGGCTGTTCATCAGAGAGAAGGCACCGTTGTAGATGAACTTTTGGTTGGAGCCAGTCTATCTGCTCTTACCTTCTTGTTCATTGCCTTTTCCCAGCTCTTCGTGGCAAAAATCTTATTTAGATGCTGTTATGGCTATCTTTGTCCTAGTGTCAGCCCTTATTACCCCTCAGTTTGAGTTTAGATGTTTGGTTGTTTTGGTGTTGTTTTCCTAGCTAATGAATATACCTTATAATTAATGTTTTAGAATTATCACTTGTGGATGTTATCTTTTCAAAATTATTATCAATTAAAACCTATGAAAAAGATTAAATAGTAGGTGTGTATGCGGCAAACTGAAGTTACTTGTATGAGTATGTTTGTGCTAGCTTAATTCTCTCATATAGTTTAGTAGTTACAATGAAAATATAGTAGCCTAGGTGTTATGTGCTGACAATTGAAAAGTATGTTTCAGCGAGTTTGAGTCTTAATCTAGCAACCAGGTTTGTCTCTGCCTTTTTTATAAAAAAAAAAAAAAAAAAAGTCAGATGGCAGAATTCAGTCTGCAAGTTCATTGGGCCAGCATTCAAATTTATGACTTTGCTCTCTTTCTTGCAAAACCTATTTGGGTGAAGGAGTTTCGTGTCTAAATGCATGACTGTAAGAACTATGCAACTGTAAGTCTTATTTGCAGTGCTTCAGAATTCACTGAACTTTCAAGAGTCGTACGATTTGAGGGGAGAGAGGATGTTTTCATTGGTTTGTTTGTAAGGGTTTTTTTGCATTTAGGGTTTTTGGTTTTTTGGGAGTTGTGATGGTTTGGGAAGTTGTGTATTTTCTTTTGGCTTTTTTTTAAAGTATGACCCAGGGCTAGATCAAAGTCTCTGAATGGATAGATTATACGTACCATGCTACAAATTTCCTTTTTCTTTAGATAAAGAAATAATAATTTTCAGAAAGACTACGGTCCTTTCTACACTTGGCAATTTGCTTTCAGCATTTTCAAAATGCAAGATCACAAGCAAATTGGAGCAATGTAATAAAAAAGGTATTTTCATCTTGCATACAGATAACAAAACGGAAAGAGGGAGCAGCTGAGTGGGAAATCTGTTTTTCTGTTTTCTGCTAACTGTAATTGCGTTGCAGTCATGTGAAAGGTCTGGCTCCACAGGAATTACTTTTAGTGAACAGCTGGTGACCTGGTTTGATTTTCTTCCTTTGAAGCACCTGGAAGACTCCAGTGAGAATTGGAGTGTGACAAGTTAGCAGAGGAAAGGAGTTGTTGTTTCCATTCCATGGATCCCTTGGGTGCTCCTTCCCAGTTTGTGGATGTTGACAGTCTGCCAGGCTGGACTGATGCCTATGAGGCTAAGCAGCTGGATTCTCACCAAAATCCTGTTGAAAAAGATCGAGTTGATGTTAGATCACCTTTTCCATACAGGAAAGATATCAATGCAAAAATAATCTTATGGTAAGTTCCATGCAACTCTGGTGTGTTTGTCATCGCTTCTCCATTTACTGCAGGATTTGATTGCCTCATATAACGATCACTGTGGGAGAACAAAGCCTTTAAACCTTCTTTTCTTGAATCAAACATTACAGAACTGGGAAGTAAATAATCTTGTTCACTGTAAATCTGCAAGTCTGAGACTTCGCTCCACCATAGGTTATAAATTGCACAATCATAGGCATTCCTTGATGCAGCAGGCTGGAGCTGTACTTCCTACTGTCATACCATATGCGTAATATCAAAACATAATTGGGCACTTTGATACAATTTATTAAATTAAGTATATTAAAAAAATATACTTGCGGTCAACTAGCTTTTTTCTTTCTTTGCTGGCTTTATTCTGCATTCACTTTTCTGGTTTACATCAGTATTTCTTTCATGTGGTTCTTGTGGCTTGCTTTGGGCTCTTCCCCCCACCCCCATTCTGTGTTCTTTCTCCACCAAAATCTATTGACAAAGTAGTGTGCTGAGGTGACCTTACTCCATCAGTTTTTGTTTAACTCTTTGTTAATCAGTTGTGAAGAGAGAAGGATTTCTTAGGGACACAGATTCAGGGATCAGCCTGAACCTCTTCCTGGTTAATACATGCAGGAAATGGGACTGTCCATGGATTGCCTGAACCTGATTAAGTAAAGAAAGAGAGAAGTAAAAGGTTAAACATCTCTTACAACTTGGCTGTAATAAATGTGTGCAATTTCAACTGTTATTTGAATCTCTCCCTGTGCGTGGGAATCTCTATTTCCCTTCCTATGGTCTTTGATCCCAAAATCTCTAATGGCTGCCACTGTGACAAAAAGCAGATCAGAGTTCTGCTACTCTGTTGTCTCTTATGCATCTCTGCTTTGTTTATCTTCTGCATGTCTGATCCTTGAATAGCAGAATGAACACAATCAATTTGTGGGTTCACAATTTCAGAACAAAAGCAATGAAAACTTGTCTAGCTGCAGTGTCAGCCTAGATCCTCGGTGATCTGAGGAAAAGCAGCAGCAGTAAGGTGCCTAGTGTGTATGCAAACCGGAAAAAGTACATTGGAAAAAATTGTTGAAGTTTTGAAAGCAATATATCACAAGGACTGTTCTGTTATCTCCAAGAGAGAATACATGTTTTTTTGGAACATATTACACTCCATGAGTTTAACACACTGCTTCGTTAGCTAAACTGCCCTACATACAACTACAGCACTGCCTTTTCTCCGTACATCGCTAAGTTACTGTTGAGGCTGGGAGTTTTTAAGAAAATGATAGGCTGCATGCAGTCTGTCTTCATCAGTTAGAGGTAAAGGATGATTCTGCATGGTGAGCACGTCAGGGTATGCTACACTATGTGGGCACTGAAGTACTGTTAATGCTTTCCCTTTAACTTAGCATTTCTTTGCTTGTCAGCACTTATTTGAGAATACCCTGCTTGATCTTACGTTTAGCCTGCAATAAACTGTTTCCTTGTTTCCTCAGGAAAGGAGACGTAGCATTATTGAACTGCACAGCCATAGTAAATACCAGTAATGAGTCTCTCACTGATAAGAATCCAGTATCTGAAAGTATATTCATGCATGCTGGGCCTGACCTGAGGGATGAACTCCAGAAGCTCAAAGGTAAGTGGCTGGAGCCATTTTTATCTTATTGAAATCTATTGTCTTTGCATAGCACAAAGTATCAGGATTTGGGCATAAACTAAAATCGTGGTATAGCACTCCCCCCC